GTGGATGCATGCCTGTGTGCAGTTGTGATTGAGCTCTTCCTCTAGTTGCTCCTTCACGAGATGCTGCACTTTCTAGATCTCTCCACATTGTTGTGTGTCTCCTCTGTTGCTCTGATAGCTGGGGATCTCTCCTTGCAATCCTCACGTGACAGACACTTGACAGGCCTCCCATCCCACCCATCCAGAGAGCACTATGATGACACACATGGTGCTGGAGCTGCTGAGACCGGCCAGGGCAAGGGTTCAGGATGGGCCTCTCCTCCCACGATACACCCACAGAGCCATTTGGAGACAGGGACCTGATTACCTCTCAGGGCCTCCCAGCTCCTGCTGCCTGTAGTGCAGAGCCCCAGCAGGGAGTCTCAGCACATGGGAGATACACCATTCATCCACCCTCCCACCAACACATCCATCCACCCACCCACAGTCCACTGAAACCATAGGCGGTGTCCGCTCCCTTTCCAAGGACCTACAACCACCAGCACCACCCTAAGAGCTCTCCCTGCATCCCTTACCAGATTCTCCCCCAAACCCTCAGAGGATCCTCACTTTTAGGCTCAGAGAGGGTGTCCACAGTCACGCACCTCTGCAGTGATGCCTCTTGAACTCTGTGAAATGCCCTGTCCTGCTCCAGGCAGGCAGTGCTCCTCAACCTGGCACCAAGAGAAGCTTTTCTCAGCTGAATTTCCTTGCTTCTCGAGTAAAATGAACTGAGCCGCTGCATTCTTCCTTCAACTGTCTGCAAGTCCTGTTCTATCGGAAAAGCTCCAGACTCTCTGTCACCCATGAGCAGCGGGAACCAGCTGGGGGTCATGTGAACCAGACTACAGACACCCAGCCCCCACTGCGCATCAGGTGACCCCACAACTAACCAGCTCTGAGTAGACACAGGGACAACACAGGGCCAGGGCATTAGTTTGAGGGCTGGGCTGACAGCAAACCCAAAAGTTAAAGAGAAATAGCACCAGACCCCCAGGCAGACCATACTGGTGACATGAGAATAAGTGTTTGCTCTTTGCCCAGCAAACTTTAAGTACCAACCCACCGTGTTGTCCTGTGGCTACTTATATGAGGCCTCCTCTGTGGATAAGTGCCCTGAGTCCTCCACAACTTAGGGGTTGGCAATTCAAGGACAAACTAATGAATTTCTGAGTGGATGAATTATTACTAATAATTAATGAATGTGAGGACAAAATCACCAAACCATTCAACTTGGGAAACCCCCAGAGAAATAATTATGATAACTACAATGCTAGACAACATCCACCCAATCTCCAACCCTTCTATCCATTCATCCATCCATTCATCCATCCATCTACTCATCCACCCATCTATCCACCCATCCATCTACCCATTCATCCACCCACCCACCCATCCTCCTATCCATCCAACAATCCATCCATCCACCCATTCATCCACCCTCCCACCAACCCATCCATCCATCCACCCACCCATGCACCCATCCATCCATTCATCCACCCACCTACCCACCCATCCATCGACCCATCCACCCATCCATCTACCCATCCAACAATCCATCCATCCACCCATCCAACCATCTGTCCATCCACCCATCCACCCACCTACCCATCCATCCACCCATCCACTCATCCATCTACCTATTCACCCATCCACCTACCCATCCAACCATCCATTCATCCATCCATCTACCCCACCTATCCATCTATCCATCCACCCACACATACATGATCCATCCATTCATCCATTTACCCATTTACCTACCCATCTACCTATTCACCACCCATCCATCTATCATACTCATTCAGCCATCCACCCTAAAATTTACTGTACATTCAAAATGTGTTCTTAAGTCCTCCAATGCCATCTCCTCACAACACATAATAGCCAGATGAAGCAAGGCAGAGGCTGGTGAGAGGACTGATGGAAGAAGTTCCCAGGTAGCCCAAGAGGTTTCCACAGCCTACTCCAGGGGCAGCAGGACAAGAAACCACTCAGGACCCAGGCAGTTTATAGTCAGGCTGAGAAGCCAGACTTCCAAGCCCAGACAAGTTCTCATCCAGGCTCCATGGAGCACCAGCTCTGTGACTTCTGACTTCTCTCTAGAGTTTCAGGGTCTGAGAACACTGGATCCTGCTCCAGCCTGGTCCTCACTTTGTCCAGAGCCACCTGAGAGGCTGGCCTGGGTGTGTGTGGTTGTTGGATAACCAGGCTGGCACCCCTGTTTCTTTGATAAACAGCCCTGATAACAAGCAGAAGAAACAGCCTGTTTCTTAGCAGGATTCCCGGGGTGATCTTATCTTTCCACTGTACTTTTAAAGGGACAAGGAACAGAGGAGAAGGAGAAAGGGCCTGTCCTCCATGCTTTCCCATCCACCTACACTGGACTTTGGTTTCGGTGGTTTGTGGGGAGAGATAGGGGAACATGGAGCAGGAAGGCTGGCCTCCTCTCTCCCACTCCTGGACATCTGGCTCATGGTCACTCTCTCAAGCCCCTATATCTGACCCCAGTAAGAAAACCCTGTGTCCACCCCAAGCCCCAGGCAGCTCTGATCACCTGGGGAGGCTCCCTGCAGTTACCAGCCCAGAAAGGCCAGGTCTGGAGGTCAAATTGTGAAAATGCCCTTGGCTGTGACTTATGGCCAGCACTGTCAGGACTCCTCCCAGAAATGGCCTTAGAGTTGCTGCCACTTCAAATCCTCTTGAGTGATTATTCTGTATCTGAGAAAGAGGTCAGGAACTGAGTGCATGCCCCTGTAACAAAATGCAAAGTCTGGACAACATAGCTCTCCCTCCCTCCCTCCCTTCTTCCTTCCTTCTTTTTCCCACTTTCTTTCTTTGTTAAAAGATATGTTCGAAGCCAATAAATGAGTCTCAGCTTTAGTTCCTTCTTCCTCACTCATCTGATCTCCCATAACTCAAGGAGAGCCCGTTCAGACACTATTGGTCCACTTTCTCTGCTTTGTTTGTTTGGAGCTCAGCCTGCTACCTCGGTAGAGGTAGGTACCAGTGACCCACCTGCCCTGTGCTTCTGGGGCCTCACCTGTGAAGGGCAGAATGCCTTTGAAGCCCTCCTCACCATGGTGAGACAGAGTGCTCTGTGGAGAGACACAGCACAGGGATCACAAGCAGGAGCCCTCCTGCCCTTCAGCTGTGGGGCATCAGGACAGTGGTACAGGTTCTAGCAACTCATTTACCCATTTTGTAAAATGGGACTAATAATATCAATGCTTGCCTTTCTCATTGGGTGACTTGGATGAAAAAGACTCAGCCCCAGCCCACACCATAGTCTCAAGAGTCATTGGAAATTCCTTTCTTACAAATAACCAATACTCTGTTAACACACACACGCRCACACACACACACACACACACACACCATATTTTATGGAGAAGTTCCTATTTGAAATCACAGTGCAGTAAGTTCTGCAAGTACGGACAGATGACACCCCCACCCCTACTACACCGCATCAAAGTGACTCTCCACTCCCTAGGACAGATCATTAATACTTGAATCCTCGACTGTGCCGGAAACTTGGAAATGCCACATTTGGAAGCCCAGAGAGGGCAGTTTTCAGCAGTCATGGCCAGAATTACATGTAGTGTTTATACTATCTGTAATTACAAATTTTGCAAATTTAAAGACACATAATTTTCACAGTCATAATTATGCAATTATAAATAATCACCCTATACAACTCTCCTCTGGCCCATAAAAGTTATCTCTTTCTTATTTGGATTTAATGTGAGGCATGTGGCCATTGTCTGACGGAAGGTTCTCACCAGTTCTAGTTTCAGCAGGCCACCTTGAGCCTCATGCCACTTTTGGTAATCCACAGAAATAGGGGGAATTGTCACTTTTGAGAAGGAAACCGGTCACTTTCCTCACATTTCCAACTATATAAAATCACACTGTGGTCCCACTCTGTGGTGTTTGCTGTTGCCTCTGGATAGCAGGAAAGCAAGGGTGGCCAGGAGGCCTGGACAGGGTCCTGGGGTGGATGGCGAAGGGCTCTATGACTCCCAGAGTATCGCTCAAGTTTCTGGTAAAAAGTCAAGGGGAGCTAATGTCCTAGCCTCTTCTGGGATGATCAGCCCACAAAAGTGGCACAGATTAATTCGTGCAACCCCAGGGCACAGATTCCCCCACCCTGCCCCAGGGGAACACTCTCTTCTGCGTCTCCCTATTCTCTTTTGCCCCCCCCTTCCTCATTCTTCCATCCTTGATCCATTTCACTCCCTCCTCCTTTTCTGACTCACTTCTTCCTTCCCCATTTCTCTCCTTTTCTTCCTTTCTCTCTCTCCCAGTTCACAGCTGCACCAGAAGCTGGTCCTTGGGATCCACAGGTCTCCCCGCCCCCCCCCCACCAAAATTCTACTTCAGCAGAAGACCTCCAGGCCTAGAGGAGCAATCCAGCTCCCCCCACCCCATTCATAAAACCAACAAAGGCCAAAGTCTTCTTCCCAGGTGCCCTCACACCTATCTTTCAGGCTTGCCTGCAGAATAGGATGCCACCAAGGATGTCCAATGCGAGGGTGCTGGTAGGAGGAGCCAGTTTGTCTGTCCTCACGTGCCTTACCTCTGCCTTCCACCCTAAACAGACTCACTCAGAGGAGGATTGTGAGGAAGCAAGAGGAGGATTGGTGGGAAGACGCCTGCCCTTGTCGTTTCCACACTGCCTAGATGCTCTGCGGAGCTGAGGACCGCTAATTACAGAGTGGCTGTTGGATTCTGGGCACCGGGCTTGGCCACTTTCACTGCGTTCCTCTGCTTGCTGGGTTCCAAGTTGACACAACTTTTCCGAGAGTGTCTGGAAACCTACACAAAAACTTCAGGAGTCCTAGGACCCAGCGGGACTTTAGAGGAGCTTTCCCGACCCCCCACGCCCTTCCCCTTCCAGGGAATTGCTGGCTAGGGGTGCACTTTGGCTCTAGGAGCGCACCACTCTTGCTTGGAGGAGTCAAGGGTTTGGGGAGGCCTCCTTGCCCACTGCAAAGACTTTGGCAGAGGCAAGGGCCAGCATGGGGAGCGGGGTCTGCCGGGGGTCTGAATGGCAGGAGGAGCTGCTCCAGAAGGCTGTGAGCGCTGCGCGGGTGAGCGCGCAACGCTGGGGGCTGTCTCCACCTCTTCTGGCAAGTTGGACCTATGAGTGCGCAGCTCCACTTAGAACTCTCCGCAGCCCGGGAGGGTGAGTGCATGTGAGAGCCGACAGGGGCAGGAGCGCAGGACCTTTGCAACTTTGTCTCAGGACTCAGCCTGGACGCCGGGGTCCGCTGCCGCCAGAGAACCCTGCGCCCTCGCCCCCTCTCAGTGCAAGCGCCTCCAGGACTTCCTGAGAGCCCCGACGGGATGCCTGCAGCCATGCTCCCCTACGCTTGTATGCTGGTGCTTTTGGGAGGTAGGTGCCACTCGGCCCCCCTCACTCTGTCTCACCGCCTGAGAAGGGAAGGGAGGGAGAGAGCTCACAGTCTGACATTCCCTGAGGTCGTAGGGACTGCTGTACCCCGCCTGGCCAGTGCTGCTGTGCTCTACGCGCCCCTCTGCAGCAGGAGGAATTGTCACTCTGTGTCTTTGGGGACTGGCCTCCATAGGTCAAGAGCAGTTCCTTGTGTAGGGCCCCAGGGGTGCAGTCCTCCAACAAGTTGCAGGAGTATCCCAGGTCCACGGAGACACCCCCCCACACCCAGCCGGGGACTCACCCCCAGGTCTCTCAGAGGAGTGCTGCTGGAATGGATCGCTGAACCGTGAACCTCGTGGTGCTCAGCTTGGGAGAAGTTTAGCGGAGGGTGGAGTGTAACTGGGCCCAAGTTGGTGCCCATCAGGCCTGGCAGAAAAGTCAAGGACCCCCTGAAAAACTTAGTAGAAAAGACAGTGGCCTCCTGATGGCTCTTCATGGGGTGGGGACTCTGTAAATGCCACCTGAGTGTGGCATGTCATTATGGGGGCCCAGTCACTTTTGGCAAAAATGATAACAATAGCAGTTGTTGAAGTGTGGCTCAGCCCAGGGCTCATTCCGAGCATCCTCACATGATGAAGAACTAAGAATTTTGGCCCTGGAGTCAAACCCCCTGGCTTGGAAACCCAGATCAGCTTTATTTCAACCTGTGTGCGTGGCCATCAGCTCTGTCTGTGTGGCCATCAGCGCTGGCCGCTGGCCGCCAGCCCTGTCCACCTCAACTGCCTCCTTTTCAGATCGGCTCAGCAGACTCGCTGCCTTTGGGGATCACTGCAAGGATTGCAAGAGGGTGTGCAAGAGAAGCCCTCAGCTTGCTGCCTGGCACCCCTGGGACCAATCAAGTGTCCCGTGAATGGCAGCCAGTTCCATGGCCATGAAGTGCTGCCCACACCCGTGGGCACTCAACTCCACCCACAGGTGGGGAACAAAGCCCACCTCTGGCACAGGTGCTCTTTGAGCCCAGACTTTTCTTATAGCCCTGGTTTCTTCACAAGATGTTTTGAGAAGATACAGAGGTTCCGTAAGGAAGGTCAAGGGAAGGGTGTGCTCAGTTTGAAGAGTTGCAGATGCACCCCTCAAAAGGCACATTGGTCAAGGGCTGCCTTCCCCACTCAGCTGGAAGTGAGAGGTCACACAGCTATCCTTGGCTACAAAGTGCCTATTTTTGGCAAAAATAGGCCTGAGACAACCCCGTTGACTTACTAGAAAGTCAGGACCAGAAGGGTATCCAGGGATAGCCAAGAAGAGTCCATGCTGGGTGTTGAGATGCGCGGACAAGGATACCTTGTGTCCGTATCCACTCCTGCAGCACCCAGCCCCCAGCTCTCCCATGCTGGGGAACAGGGCAGTCCTGATTGGTAGGACATATTACCTCGGGAGCTGACATTCTCAGTCACAGTGCAGGGTTGTTGTCTTTGGCAGGCCCGAGTCTCTCGACATGCCAATAAAGTCACTGGAAGTTTACATCAAGGCTCTTGGGGAGTCCTGCTGCTTCATTCCTTGGTGACTTTTTGCTATAACAGGTCAGACAGATTCCGGAGGAGAGCAGCCAAGAGGGCTCGGTCACCAGCAGGAGCCCTAGGAACCATTTTCCAAGGGATACTTTTGTCAGATGTCCTTTTTGCCACTGGCCGCATCACAAGATGGCAAGATCCTCTTGCTTTCCTAAAAGGAAACAGCCCAGCTAATCCCTCAGCCACTTGCATCATTTGGTACCTGAGCTGAGGCATGTGAACTTGGTGTCCAGGTTCTAGAAGCTTGGAGTAGAATGGCACCCAGAGTGCCCTGCCAAGGACATTCAGGTTGAGCACGCATGCACATGCACACACACACCCTCGCCAGGGCGTCTGGACCTCAGCATGACTGAGTGACATTTGGAACCAGAGTCTTTGTTGGGGGCGCGGAGCTGTCCAGCCCATGGTGGGCTGTTTAGCAGTATCTCTGACCTCTCCCTGCCAGCTGCCAGTGGCATCCCCTTTCAGTCGTGATATCCAAAAAAAGTCCCCAGACATTGCCAGGTATCTCCTGGGGGCAAAATTGTCCCCTGCCAAGAGCCACTGGTCTGGTGTGGTATGGAGAGATTGACCCCAGTTGGTAGCTTTTCACATAAATCTTTGTCCAAATCATCAGGTTGGGTGGACTTTGTTATTTTTGCTTTGAACAATCAGGAAATCAAGGGCACAGCGGGGCCCCAGGAAAAACAACACAGCCTAGGTGGTTTCTAATGGGGACGTTGATTTTTCCCATTTGTTCTCCCTCCATCTGTACTTGACAATGTCCTCGGGTTCGGGACAGGAGGGAGACTGCGGAACACCCAGTTACCCGCTGCAGCGAACCTGCCTCCAACCCAGGATGCCAGATGTATCAGGCCAGCTCTCCAGCTGCCAGCTTTGGTTCCCTCCTCAGTAATTTCTGGCTTTTAAAAAATCTCCTTATTCAACAATTTATGCTTGAGGGGGAAAAAGAGAAACCAAAGGTTTTTTTTTTTTTTTTTTTTTCTCACTTGTATTTTTTTTTTCAGATTTTGGTCCTGTTTTCATCTCTAGCCATATATTTTTTGTGATTGCAAGTTATCATTTGGAGACAGATTAACTAGGACAAAATCACAGGCTGTACAGTAATAAATTAGTTGTTGATGCGGAGCTTCAAAACCAAGAATAAAAATGGGGAAGAAAATTAAGTAAAAACACACTTGTCTGAAAATTAAATATGAATAGAGATGGGTAATCATATTAATTATTTAAAACAAAATTATCAATGGAAACTTCATCTTGCCGCTTGGCAAGTCGCAAGCAAATCATCCCGGGCAGCTGTTTCACTTATCTTCTAACCAAGGCTGTAATCTCTAAATTCAAAATAACCAGCTCAAGGCAAATATAGCAGCTTCCTTGATTTCAAAACCATCTGGATGGCAAACCAGTTAGAAGCTACACATGAAGAAATATTTTTGCAACATATTGAGAGTCAACTGTGCTCATGAGAGCTGCAAGCCAGAAAGAATCCCTGTTACAATTTTTAAGATAGGGAGGTTCACTGTCAAGGTCAATATGGAGATCAGGAGCCTGTTGCAAAGGAAAGAGAGGCTGCAAAACTGAGTGAAGTTGGGGCATCTGAGCTGAGCAAGGAGGCTCTTGGGGAGGACGAAATCTGAAGGTGGTGCAGGGGCAGTTATGAGTTGTAGCTGGGGGTTTGGTGCTATTGTTCCTTAAGTGAGAATGACTTTTGTGCAAAGCCAAATCCTGTCGCCACATGGATTATCAGATTGTTTCCAAAAGACCTTGATGTGGAAAAACTGACACCTAGGAAGTTAGATCCGTGGCAGAAAGAAGAAAGGGACAGGCCATGTGGGAAGCCTTGTCCCAAAGGATGTCAGGCCCGCTGGAGTGGGGACCGGCAGGCCAGGGGCACTGAGGTGACTGGTAGGAGCAGACCGTCCTCAGTCTTCTGCCCGTGCACTTGGAAGTCAGCTGGCTGGGCTGAAACTAGCACACTTTGTGTGCTGCAGAGAGCTTGAGAACACTGTTTTTGGAAATACACTAGATCCCACCCTTGCTTCATGACGTTCCTACCTGTCACCTGTACCCACTGAGCCTCCCTGGGTCTGTGTCTCCATCAGTGAATTGGGAATGGTGACAGCTGTGGCCTTGGGGAGCTGAAAGGGTTAAGTAGGATTGATGCGTGGTTAGGTATTTAACACCAAGGACTTGCTAGTCCCGTGCTGTTACCATAGCACTGTCCCTGCTCAGAGCTCCCCAGACCCAGAGAAGGAGGAGGCAGGGCGCTGCTGCCTTGGCTGGAGCTAGAGATGTCACCTCATGTTCATTCCTGGTGGCAAGTGCCATGTTTTCTTCCCTCTCTGAGGTCCTATGTGCCCACAGGAGCCTCCTTGGTTACTCTGATAGTACTAACAACAGCCACAAAATTCCCTATTGTTCCCATGTAGGGCGCCCTGAAGCTCTGTGGGGCCAGGCCCAGGCCTTTCTCTGTCACCAATGTTCTTATGTGAAACGTGAATACAGACGGCGGGCAGGTGGGGGGAAGAGGAACGGTCTGGCAGAGCTGTGTTCAGAGTCTCAACTTGGGGGACATGTATCGGGCTCTTTCTGCATGTGCCATTGCTGGTGTGCAATGGTGAAGGTGGAGGGACAGTCAGATGGCTCCCTGCCCCCAGGGAAACCAAAGTCAAACAGGCATTTAATCCTCAAAGGTGGAAGTAATTACAAGAGTGAAGAGCTGCGTACAGAATAGGTCCAGGGGCATCAGGGAGGTGGAAGAAGGCCCCTAAAAAGGTGATAGACAGGTCAATTGGACCTTGTGAACAGAAGGAGCCGTTAACCAGGGCTGGAGGAACCTCCAGGTAGGAGCGCAGAGGCCTGATGCTCAGGACAGCAGGAATATGTTCAAGGAGAGAAGGCTGCTGGGCTGCGAGGGGCGGAGGCCAGGAGGTGGACCATGTCAGAGGTCAGCAGAGCCAGGTCCTGGAGGGTCGTGGGGTCCGGGTGGCCTACAAAGGCAGGAACTGCTTATATCCCACCAGCCCTCACCGTTAGCACTCTTTAARAATCTCGCAGTGGCCACGTTTGGTAGTTGTGATTTGCACTCATGTCATTAGGAAACAGGAAAAGTCTGTGTTTTATGGCCCTTGGATTGCTTTGCCAGTGAACTGCCTGGTCATAGGTTTTGCCCAGCTTTATACTGGACTCTGAACAGAATCTTTGTTCTTATTGATCTGTAAGTGCTCTTTGTATACAGGAAAGCAGCTGTTGCCTGTACATGCGCAGCTCTCCCCAGCTCGTTGCTTGTTCACCCAAGTCCCCAGAATAGAACTGCTATTCCTCTTCTCATGCATGGTCACACCCTTGACATGTCTGCAGCCACATGTGGGCCATTAGCAGACGTGCACTTTCCCCAGAGGGGAGAGCAGGTGGCCAATACTCCTGCCA